TGTATTAATTTTTAGAACTACCATAAAGCAGTGATATTGTTATGGAAACTATAAATGATCAGTAGGTTTAGTTCGTTAATCGATAAATTCTAAGTATCTTGATTTATGACCTGATTGGACCAATGAGTGAGTTTAAAATAACACAATTTATTAATACCAATTTTGTAGATGATTTCACTTATTTAAATCTTTTATCTTGTAGAGTAATTGACCATATGTATTATTAAGAGTTATTTAGCTTAATATGAAATAACTGCAGTACAAGACTAATCATGAAAGTTGGGTTTGAATTTTCATGAATGCGTTTATGTGGTCATGTGCATTAACAAGGTAGGTACCATAAGATATGTTCAATTTTTTCATGAGTAAATAAGATTGTCCTTGAATTAAATTTGGGTATGTTGGTCGATAAACCAGATTTTTATTGCATAGAGTATGGATGAATAATTTTATTTTCACACTAATTTTGTTATTGTATTGTGTAGAATACTTTAAGGTTTAGATATTGATATATATGTATTGTCTCTCAAGCAAAACAAAGAAATATTAGCTAAAGGCTATCAATATGTGTTTCCTATTTATGTTACGCTTTTTCAGACAAACTCCTTTTTTGTTATGTCAATTTTATTTTCAACCATAGGCAACTAAGTGACTACATCATTAAATAGATAAGTCGTGAATAATTATTTACGAGTGTTATAACCAATGTTGTTAAACCTCTACTGACCGACCGGTTGGACCAGGTCCGACCAAAGTCATGTCCAAAATGGTCAGATTGTTGGAAGGGGGAGGGGGAGATAGGGAAGGGGATGGTGGGTGGGTACTTAGGTAGATTTTGTTTAGAATTTGAAATTTTAGTATATATAAGTCAGATACATTTCATTTCAGTCATTTAATTTTTTATTATCTTATATGCATATATATATTTAGAAAACAGGTGTAAAACAGCTCAAATAAGTTGGACCCAATCAAACCATTAAACTTCAAACAACTTGCTTGACCGGCTCAACGACTTAAACTGGTTTGACAACTTTGATCATAATCATTAAGATTGCAGTGTTCATCATTGATGAGAAGTTATCAAGACTTTCAAGAATGGAAATATAATTTCGATGCCACCTTAATGTCATACGAAAGTTAGCATTTCAAATAGTTTGAAAATTTTAGATACACATGATAAATACGTTGAATTCAAATTACATTCCGACCAACGGGCCGTACACCAAGCTAGTTCTCTATACAAGTCGGGGAGCACTCCAAATTCGTGTTTCTACCATTTGATATCAGAGCAAGTTGGTGCTCAACACAGAGAAAGGAAATAATGGTGGCTTCCAGCAATTTTTCAATTGCAAGCAGACTCATCAGGTATGGGCCTTTCCACCAAATACATTTTTTTCTCTTGCTTAAGACATTTAATTAATTAAGCTTCAGAACCAATTGAAGAAATTGGAACCATTCAAGTTCTCCTTCTCAAGGATGTTTTACAGTGAATTAGATTGTTGTGTTTCCTAAAGACTCATGTCTACACCAAACAAATAAGATTCTAATGTCATGATTCATTCATCTAAATAAGACCCATTAAATGATAGTCCCACTAATTTCTTCAAAATTATTACCTTCAAAGGATCATTGCATGATAAATATTATCATACACTTTGTCGATTTTTCAAAACAATTATCAGATTATTGATTGGACAATTTTTTTCCGATACATCCCATGTTATTATCTCAACTAGGCTTCAATTTCATAATACTATTAGGATTACTTGGTTAAGTTGATCCAAATGTTTAACACTGAGTAATGTATGATAGGGAGCACCCATCTTAAACATGAACCTACTCTTCTTTCATCAACACTTTTCAAATCTCCCAATGATAATAGATGGTACATAGCCTATGAATATAACTAACATCAATTATCAATGATTTGATGAGGATTAACGTATTGATAGGCATTTTAAACTTAAACTTTCAACAACAGATTTAATTGTTGTTTGAGAAGTATCATCATACATCTCCTAAATTAATTACATATAATATTTTAATAAAATGTGACTTAACCTACGGTACTTTTTGGAGAGGTCTTTCTGTCCTTAGAAACACATCCAATTTGCCTAACCCATAACGTGAGTTCCGAGGTAAGAGGGTCATCTCGTGGAAATATATTTGTGTAAAGAGATGTTTGCCTAAAGGCGACAAACTCCTGTTTTCCTTTCATTACAGTTATTCTGAACAAGTTCCTGGATAACAAACCTAAGGATTTTGTTATTAATAATAGTGACGATATTGATGATAGTTATTGCATACCATAAATAAACTCGAACACACAAGAAGCCTGTCGGGCAGACGGACTCACATCTCTTACAACCGTCACAGTCCATTGTTCGTGGAGCATTAGCAATTTGCTTCGCTTCTAGGCCAACATCTCTTTACACAAAGAAATCCACCTGATTCCCCGCTGACTCGCTAAAACACCAAACTGCGACCAAGTGTAATCGCAGTCCGGAAATGCAGTAACAGGCAAGCTGTAATTGTCAACCCGGGGTCTAGATCTACTGCCTACTCCGTGTATATCTGTTATCTAGCAAACTAAGTTGAGTGATTGTTGATTTAAGTAAAAGCAGAAGAAAGCAGGAAATGGTTTGGTTTTCTAAAGCAAAGGAAGAGTCACTCTGGAATGAGTCCCCCTAGCTCCTTAGTTAGGTCACAGTTGTAATTACTTTTGGTTGCTTTACTGCTGATTATACTGCGGAAGATCCAACAGTGGCTTGGAATCTCTTAACCTGACCAAGCCCTCTCAGTCAAACTACCCGGCAGACGACTAGTCTTCACCAGGATAGAACGCTGAGGCAATGAACACAGAACTCCACTACTAGAATTGGATTCCACTACAAAGCAGTGAATCGACCAACTCTCATATAGACTATTCACTACTACCGAATGAAGAAGCTCTAACAACCTAATCAGATTCTATCTATCTCAGGTTGCAGCAGAAATCAATAAAAGATGATCAGACTTCAATTGACTCAATCAAAACACTTCAATCGATTATAATCAAGCAATATCACAATCCAAACGTAATTACAATCAAGATTCCTAACACATGGAACTAGGGTTCTTCATACCCAAGTGAGAGAAAGTTCTACTCCATAGAGAGAGAGAGAGAGAGAGAGAGAGAGAGAGAGGAAAACAGAAATCAGAGTAGTCATACTCATAAAGATGAGGAAAATCTGCTCTGGGATGTCAATCTTCACTCCTGGGGATGCAATCTGGGCTTCAATGGTGAGAAATTCACTCCAAATAGCTCCTAGGGTTTGTTCTTCGCACTTTCTCACTCTAAAAATCTGTTTTTGCTCCAAAAAGTCGACTCCCTCTCCTTTGGCTCGAATCTGCCTCAAAAACCCGATTCTGGGCAAAACACGGTCGAGGTCACTACCGTGTTTTGCTTTTTCCCCTCCGTGCCCTTGCCACGTGTTAAAAACATGTGCGCGTCGGCAAAACACGGTCGTGCCTAAATATGGACACAGCCGTGTTTTACTTTAGGCCAGCTCGTGTTTTGTTTTTCCATCAGTTCAGCTCTCGCACATAAAAACACTGTGTGCCTGTTTGTGTACACGGCCGTGTTCTTCAGGCCTCCTGCCCATGTTTTGCCCCCGGCTCAACCTAATGACCTCCAAACTCCCCGAATCTCGTGTTTAGCCTTTCCTTCGACGTCTGGGACCCGAAATATGACAAAGTAGCACAACCCAGCGTAAAACGAGTCAAAAATACACGACTACTAGCCGCAAACAGATAAGAACTAAAGGTGCAAACATGTGCAAATACATCGTTATCACCCGCTTACCTAGTTTCCATTGAAGTGATTAAATTCATGACGTCGTGATTAGCCATCTGAATCTTCAAAATGACTCATATAAAGTGATGATTATTCATTCTCGAATGAATCCTTATTCAACACCTTATGCTTATTAGCACATTATGGTAATAATGTGGAAGATGAAGATGATTCGATCTTTATATAATCTACTACCTCATAGTTATGATTAGACCGATATGATCCACCACGTGCTTATTATCACCTCATGCTTAATTACCACCTCTTGCTAATTAACACCTCGTTCTTAACAAAAATAATAATTAATCTTAATTTAACAACCAAGACAATTCTAGATCCTTAATTTAAATGCACAAAGCATTAGACTCTACACTTATAGTCCATAACCAACATGCTTTGACTATTCAACTTACCTGAACAAAAATTTTGTATGTGACCTATATGTTTCTTCTCACGTTGGTAATGATTTTAGCATCCACAGTCATTAAAAAAGAGCAGGGTCTATCAATGCATCATTGATACCTAAGTGAACTTAGAAGTTGGGGTGATCTAACTAATCTTTCAATATAATCACTATCATATTATCGTTTTGATTTTGATAAGTGTTGTGTCTCTTCATCATGACATCTAGATAAACCACGAGGCACATATAAGTGTCAATGTCATATAGTGAATATGTTTCACCTGATACAGAGTGCACATAATGTGACAAATATTGGTGTAATATATAAATCGTCGACTATGGATACATTCCTTTGTCTTACTCCATCAATACGCCTGAAGATATCCCTCAAGTACAATTTGGATTAACGAACCCCATCAAGGTTAAATACATAATGAGTTATGCACCCAATAACAATTATGTCTCTCCCTATTAAGACATGATTAAATAAGGTATCAAAGTATGTAGGGCCCCACATCAAAGGACATCATTTTTTATGATCACCTAAGATACACTTATGACACAATTGTACACTATGTGAAAGTGCTCCCCGGTTGGGTATTTCCATAACAAAAGTTCTCTAAATCGTAACTCCTATACATTACTTAACTATGTAAACATATACACATGCACTGGTCTCGATTGTATAAGAGCTGACCAAGTTCTTGCTAATATATTGGACAAGGGATGTTTAAGAATTCACATCAAATATGTGATGTTCTATAATCATTATCATGTTTATTAAAAGGAAAGTTTGATATAAAATACAATAATTTAACAAAGTCTCAAATATGTATAATATATACACGATACAAAAGTGCAACACTACACAAGCGTCCTAACTGCATATCCAAAATATGAATGACTTTTGGGCACAACACTAATAAAATCTTCATTCATCACTTGTTACACCACACGTAGTTCACTCAACGATTATTTTTAACTTCTCAACAGTGAACTTGGCACAAAACACTAGTGCACAGGCCATCAAGCAAAAAGAAACAAGAGCTGCACCACCAAAATGCAACCACGCCGCCAAGTACGGAAACAACAAAAACTCAGTGGTGTCGGCCACCCTATTCATCGCGATCCCGAAACTAGCACCGTGTGCTCGATTCTTGTACTCGAACACCTCAGAGGCATAAATCCATGTAATCGAGCCCAACCCTACCTCAAACGACCCGAGAACCCCAGCTAATCCCAACATGAAGAAGCTCACAACTACTCCCTGATCGTAGCCACTTCCACTAGATGGCTTCAGCCAGTTGTGCTGGACGCCCAAAAGTGGCAACCCTAGCATCACCAGAAAGCTGCACTGGCAACCGATCCCGATGACCAGCATGAACCTTCGCCCTAGACGGTCCACCAGGCAGCTCGAGACAAGGGAGAAAATCAACCTGACTACCTGGATTCCCCATTCCGCCAACACCTCAAACTCATTCGAGAATTGGTGAAAAAATGTCACTGTGTTGGCCTTGAAACCATAGTTTACGCCGGCCAGCTGACGGAAGACATGTAGCCCGACCACCGAGATTACAACGTTGCGGATTGGTGGCTGGAGGAACAAGTCCTTGGAGCTACACCAAGCAACAGCGAGAACTCCATGTTGTTGTTGTTGTTGTTGATTTTCATTATCATCTAGTATTTCCATCTGCGAGATTATGAAGTTAACTTCATCCGGACCTCGCTCACTGTTTTCCAAAATTCTGGTCGCTTCATCAGTTTGCCCACTTTTCATCAGTAGCCAGTACGGCGATTCCGGGATGGCTAGAGTACAGGCAGTGAAAAGGATGGATAGGACGACAGCTATTCCGTAAAAGGCCATATGAGCAACTTTTTGTGAAAATGATGACACCATAGCATTGAGTATGTAGGCTGCTAGGACTCCCGTGTTCAACCATACCTAGCACCGTGGATTTTCAAATACATTTTGATCGTATCATTATTCTGAGTGTTTCAAATTCATATAAAATGTGAATATCTATAATCCATCTAAGCATTTTTGTAAATTTTCAAAAGTATGGATAGTATAATTTCTTAGTAAAAATCTCTAGATACTAAAATTTTGATTTTCCATCAATTTATGGGACCTAGTTACTAATTGTATTAAACTTTAGGTACTACGATATAAGAAATAATAAGTATAGGTACCAAAGTTTAATTTAAAAAAATTTGCTTCTTTAGACCGTAAGCGTAAATAACCTAAATATTAGGCTGAACATATAAAGTAAATCATAATATGCAAACAAATGCTCAGATACTGAATTTCAAATACAAATATTTAAAACATATGGTGTATTTATTGAATACAACGGCGAAACTATAAGTATTTTAAATCAGAAATTAAAAAACTAACTAGTATTTTACATAGTCAAATAGATGTATTTGAAATGTGCATGATTGACTACAATGAAGAGTTGATTGAAAACACAGATTTTAGAAGCAAGTAAATGGACTCATAGTTACGTTGATTACGCGTACCTCGGCGCCCGAAGTGAAGAAGCCTCGAGCACGAGCAGGAACAAGCTCCGCTATGTAGACAGGGCCCACCGTCAGGCTGATCCCTGTACCTAAGCCCGTGAAGATGTGACCAACGGCCAGAACGCCAAACGACACCGTCCCGAAGCTTTTCAAAACGTTCCCGGCGAAGAAGAGTGCTCCTCTTGCCGTAAAATGGCGTTTCCTCCCAAAGTAGTCTGCCGTCGCGCCAGCCACAAGCGCACTGAAAACGCTGGCGACATTGGCAATCACCACCAGTAACTTGACCTGTAGGTAGGGTGCAGCATCGGGATTGCTCTGCCACCCGAGCTTCGCCATGGAGTTATCTGGCATTGGCAGAGTTATGATTAAAACGAGCGAAAAATTAGTACAAGTTTAAGCAAATTACGCTGACGAGTAAGGATTACTGACTTACCGTATCCGACAAGAAAGAAGGACAGGGCAGCTACGATTGCAAGTGTCTCCGATCTCATTGTTGAGCAGTTTGAGAATGTTGGTTTGTATGAACTATGAACACAAAGGGTTGCAAGTGTCTCTGCGTTATGCTTTGCGGCATTGTTTCCTTTATATAATAGCTCAATATCATTCTTCTTCTCTATGTTAGCCTCTCTGCATCGTCTAGAAAATTTTTAGCTAGTGGTTTAAACGTCATTGTTAATGGATAGTTGGTTGAAGGCTTTTGCTCGTATTTAGTAATGTTTAATGCTTCCAAGTCAAAGAAAGTTTTAAGCGTGCTACACATCACAACCTTACTCCTTGTCCTATTATTACTTGAACCAATTTGATGGAATTGAATCAATGCTAAAACGGGACAGTAGCCTGCGTCTACTACTCTCTCTCGGTAAGAAATAACAAAACGTTCATTGCACAGACTGGACAAAGAGCCAGCCAAATCTTCCTGTGAAGATTGATGTGAGATATGTAGGCTCGTTAGGTCAGTCCTCCTTGTGCAAGACTTTAGGAACTCGAACATAAGGCTCGTCGTAGCTTGTAAATGTTTGGGTTATGAATGAATGAATGTGTTTGTCTAGTAGATTGTTAATGCCACTCTTTCCTAAATGATGACGCTTGGGCAACTGGCTCTAATCTTCCCTCTTACCCTACTTTATGCTAACGCCCTGGGTATGGAGTTCTAGGGTTAGACGGGTATGCCCCATCTAGCGAGTTTAGGTTAGATGAGTGAATGGGGGCCCATAGTGGTCGAGGCTACCGTACCCCCTCTATAGGTAGCCTTCCTATATGAAACCTCGGTGTGGACATTGGATAGTGTCTATTGAAATGAGCCATAAGCTTAGTGCCCCATATACGATAGCCTAAATCGAGGTGACTGAAACATGGGTTTAGGAGAGGCGTACTCGGAGGCGTGTGGATAACGACGAAGGCCCATGGAAAAGAGCTCACTCACCACATTCGATTAACGCTACATTACAACCTTAAATAGGAAGATTCGACCCTAGACAACCATCTCATTTCTAGTGTCATCCCAACCACTTGGTTATTTATTTTGCCTTAGGAGTAGGATAATTTAGTTAAAACCCCTCACCAAACTTCCATCCCGATTAGATAGTAGTTCGGGCGAAGTAATAAAACACTTAGAGATCCCTCGGAATACGAACGAGCCACTTTACTACAACCCTAGCTACGTTATACTTGGCTTAGTTAGGATTGAATAGAGAGTGTAATTCGAGTTTATATATTTAAAACTCAATCGCGCACCCGAGGAGCGATCACCAGTATCTAATACATAAATCTTGAATACCAAACAGTACACTAAACTCAACTTAATCTTAATCTCAAAATAAATTTGGTGTCTCAATTTCAATCCCTAATGTTTTATTCGGTATCGAGGTGTACCAAATTAATTTCCTTCAAATTACAAATCAAATTTACATACGCAAATACTTCTTATCTACCAACAGTTTCACACACCATTCTCAAAATATATATAATGCGGCCAACACTCATGCAAAACAAAATGGAAAATGAATTTCAAGTATAATAACCAACAACTAGAAAATTGTGGTGGAAAATGAATTTCAAGTATAATAACCAACAACTAGAAAATTGTGGTTCTTAAGAAACACATTAACAAACTGACACATGAGACGGCTAAACAACCTATAAACATACTACAAGTAACAAAATGAGCTTGGTATGTGTTGTCAAATAGTAAGAGAATGAGCTATGTGTAATTAAATGACCAACTTGGCGATTGAAGGTCATATAGTAGTGAGTAAGTAAGCCTAGTTGAAATGGATAAAATACACACTAGCAAATATTGGGATATTAATCGATATTTCGTTATATACTGATCCTAATCTCTTAGTCTCTTATACCAAATATCACTTGAAATTCAACCACAATTCCAAGAAATATTACATGTATTTGAGAATATTAAATATCGAAAAATTCAATACCATATTCGATATATTCCAAATACTAGTACCGAACTTCTAACCCTACCCACTTTTTATCCTTTGTATCTACGGCATAGGCTCATGCACCATTTAATGTGACGAATCTGAAATTCCTTTTTTTTATAGGGGAAGTCAATCTGAAATTTATTGAACCAATCTCTAGATATGTGTGAAAATGCATTGTATAGCCCTGGAACTAAGTTTATGGGCATTACTATATAACTATATATATGCTTTCAAAGACCATAAACTACCAATAGAAGTACAAGGTTATTATAAACCCAAAAATAGGAATCCAAGGTGACAAAAGAACAACAATGGCGCACTACAACAAATATAGCCTTTTGTGACCATTTTCATTTAACTAATTTTTTTTTTGTCGGCGAAAATTAATTATTAATGACCAATTATATTTTGGTAATAAAACGTTTGATGAATTGGTTACTAACTAGAAAAAGATTTTTTATAACCAAATTAAAATTTATACGACCAAAAAAATTAGTAGCCGAATGTTCAATTCTTTTTCTAACCAAAACAATTTGTTTATCATCCTTAATGCTTTTTAAAGTAACTAATACTTATGGTCGCATAAACATATTAAAATGGCCACTTATAAGAAAAGAATTTTTATGATCAAAACAAACTTTACAAAACTAAAAATATTGGTCATAAAATATTAAATACTTTTTCTGGCCAAATATAATTGGTCATATTTTCTCCCAACTTACTATTTCTATTTTTTCTTTATAATGTCCGCATCGTTTCTTTTAATGGCCAAATAGAGCATCTATCTATGTATCTCCTTTGTTATAATTGAACTGAGAACACATAGCTAGAGCCTAGAGACATAGTTGTCGTCGTTAATGTCTATATAATATATTAATAAAAATTGAAATATAAAACAAAGCAGTAATATCTCTTTTTTTATGTCACTATATTGAAATTATTCCTTTTTCCACTTGTATTTGCTAACATCAATTAATTTAGCACAAATAGAGATGCTGACTTCTTTTGGGCTTTGCCTCTTTCTCCGGTTCTATTTTGGGCTTTAACTCTTTCTTTTTGGTATAAAAACAAATCCGCTTTATGTTCAGTCTGTTTGGGAAAACCCATCTCCTTCAAACCATTCTTTTCTGTTCTCTCCTAAAGTATCGACGTCGCCTGAAGAGTTGGGAGATTCTAATCTGAGGTGAGTAACGCCATCGCATTCACTCCAGGAGGACATCGCCTGCAGGTTAGTAACGCCATCGTTCCAAAACCTCCACTTCCTCTTCGATTTGTACCGTAGTTGAAATTCGAATCTGAGCGGCGAATCGTATATTCTTCTTTTCAAAACTCGATCTATCTGAGCGAAGACTCTAATTCCTCTCGTCATACTTCTGATTAGAGTTCAGATCGGTGAGCGGCTTGAATCGCATCTCCTTTTGGTTGAATATACTCAGATTCGGTGATTACTTCACTTTATCGTCTTCGGTGATTATTTGCCTGGATCGATTTGTCTCACGGCGAGCCATTATTGTATGGTCGTCTTCGTATATATGTTTGTATGTATCCTCTGTAATTGGCTTCCCCGTAGGGATAAGGACGGAGTCTTATCTCAGAAACTGACCTCATGGCCTCCATCGCCAGAGATCCAATTAGTTGTCATTGGTTAATTCAACATAGGCACCAATATAATTAGAGTGAATAGATGATTTTGTGGGTCTGCTAATATATGATGATGAGAGAGCTGCAGGTAGTAAGTTGAGATTTTGCAAAGGCATTTTGCAGCTGTCTGTGGGTTCCAGGATTTTTGGTATGGATAGGGCAGCTCTTACTTTGTTTATCATTTGGGACCAGAGTGGGCTGCTGTTGCTTTAGGTTTTTATTGTTTTACTGCTGCAGTTGTTCTAAACCATGAATGATGTGCAGACTTGTTTTCTATGATCAGGGAGGATAGTATTCTTAACTCATGGATGTGGTCAACTGAGGTTACCAATTTTGATCATTTTCTGTAACAGATTTCTGAATGGGACCAGGAGGGAAACGTACGTTTGAGTATCCCAGCCGAAGTCTAACACCCAGAGCTGGACAGAAACATGCAGCTGAGTATGCTAATTCATATGCTAGGCAGTACAAGGGAAACAAGACAGGACATAATTCTAGGAAAGGTATGATTTGAAAGAGATTTTGTGACTGTAAGATTGAACTTGGTTTGGTTGCTTGTTTTATCTTCCAAATCGATAGCAGAAGCTCTTGGAGGTTCCACTTACTGATGGACCTCTTGGAGATGATGAATATGAGCAGCATTTGGAGGAAGCACTTTCTGCCTCTGAAATTGGTCTTACAGGTGAATTTTTGCAATTAAATATCCACTTCATTGCCTTACTATTCCTATGTACACCTGTAACTAAAATTGCCAAGTGGTTTTGCGTAAATGTATAGATCAAAATCGAAAGAAGAAGAAGGTTAGAGGTATAACAAGAGGCTTGGAAACGGTGAAACTGGCTGCTGCCATGGGGAAAGAAAAATTTCCAATTACAATTGATGTCTCACAAGGTCGACCAGTTAATGGTGTCCAATATGCCAAACTTTCAAGTGAGCTTGGTTTGATAAGTCGGGAATACATGGATGAGATCCCTATCCGCTGGACTAAGGATTCCAAGAAGAACCATCTGCGTTCAGCTTATGACAGACTAAATGTAAGCTTAATTTATTTATAGTGATTGCATTTTATTATTAGGAGTTGGTATGATTTGTTTATGATTGTTTTCTTTTACCATGAACACATTGTTGATTAATATATTACTGGTGATAGATGCATATGCAAGTTGAAGATATCAGTGAAGAGGCTGTCCAAGATTCCATTGATGGGTTATTGCAAATCCAAGTCAAGCAGCAACGTTCCAAGCTGAAAAAGATATTCCTTGAGTGCGGTGATGCAGTGGAAGCTAGAACAATGAAGCCTCCTGGAATAAGCCAAAAGAACTGGGACGATTTGATTGACTATTGGCTTAGTGACAAAGCTAAGGTATGATTAATATATTACTGGAATAAGCCATTTGTAACTCTATTCTTTGCAGGGTCTAGATCCCTTGCTTTTTGTTTCTGTGCAATGATCGATGGATTTCATGATACGGAGATCAATGTTTTTGCTCAGTATATATATATAGTTTCATCATGCATAGTAATTTCTTCCTTTATACCCTTATTGGTGATACTGATGCACCAGTATAATGATCAAATGAATAATGGAAAACTTATATGGGTGCCTTTGTATTAATGATGATGATAATGAACTACAAGTGGACTTTGAAAATTTGTGCATTCTTATGACAGCTTGAAAGTTGAGATCCTGTACATTGATCGATCTGTGTTCGCCCAGAAAATTTCATTACTAATTTTGTTACTTCTTTCATTTGAAGCGTGTTGCTGTTGCCAACACTCAGAACCGACAGCGTGTAAAGGCCTCCCATCGCCAAGGACGTAAAGCTTTTGTTGTCTTAAGAAATGAAATTGTAAGATACATTCTCTGTTGTATCAGTTTGCACAGCAGAATCATTAATGGGATTTTTGTTCTGCAATCCTAAGTAGCATATCCTTTTTTCTTGTATGGTTGCAGAAGGAAGCGAATAATGGAGAAGAATGTGATCGAATAAGCCTATATAAAATGGCATAACCATTCTTATGTCTTGTTGTCTTTGCTTTTAATGGCTTGTGTTGTGATTGACTCGTTTATTTTATGCTTGTTAGATAACTGGAGTGAGAAGGCTATCCGCAGAAAGACCACTGGAACTGGAAGGATGAGGTACCTCCGTCATCTCCCCTGCAGGTTCAAGAGCGGCTTCAGAGAGGGTAAATGAATATGAACACATCCTTCTGTTCATCAAGTAAAAGTGCAATCTGCATGTTTGTTGTGACTGTAAACTAGCTTAAATGGTTGAATTAATCGGATTTTCTTGTCCAAATCTGGTCTGAAGTCTTTTTAAAGTGTCGAACTTTTCTCTTCCATCTATAAACTTGAATATGACAAGTATACATACACACTTACTACCCTTTTTTCCACAGCTTCTTACCTTGTCTTTTGTCATTTTTTTAGCATGTATTCTGGTTAGCAATTTGGTTCCAGAACTCTACGCGCCTTTCCACTTTAGCATGTTGCATGCTGCTCATCACATTAAACCTGTTCCTGCCACTGAATCTCAGGTACAAATTACCATTGAGCTGCATCTTTTATTCCCCCTCCCCCTCCTTTTACCATTATCCTTTTACCACTGAATCTCAGGTTTTCATGAAAGTCACTCACATATTGATAATCGGCTTTAACATATTGAATTTTTGAACTTTATGTGACTATCGTATGATCTGTTTAAGCCGATTGGTGCTAATCTAGTGCTCGCTAACCCGGAAATGGTTGAAAAACCATTATTGCCTAGTGCCATGAGTTTGATATGTTACAGGTGGAAAAAGTACGAAAAAGAAGCGAATGCACAACAAGTAATTGGGCCAAAGCCCAAATTGATGGGACTTTGAATTAGCAGCTCGGCGGAAGTCTCGAGGGAATGGAATAATGGAAGGAAGAAGTGGGCCAAAGTCCATGGGACTCTTCTCCTTGCTGGGCGGCGGAACAAAGGGTGGAAGAATTGGACACAGCCAATTTTGGAGGCGGAATCTCTTTGGTGGAGACAATTGGAACCAGGCGGCACTTTTTCTCTCGGGGACGCGAATTTTTCTTGGGGAGAAAGAAAGAAAGCAGCGGAGAAAGGCAGCAGGGCGCAGCAGAGAGCGTATCGAGCAACGAGCAGTTTTTTCCAAGCGGCTAGAGCTGAGTTCAACGAGAGCGATTATTTGGTTGGATTTTCTGAACCGAATTAGTTGTTTATTGTTGATTTAGAACATGATGAACAAAACCCTATCGATTTATCTTAATTTCGTCATGAACTAAACCCCAATTTCTGGGGGAAACACCATAGGATGTAGCTATTTCTTGATTTGATGGATTGATTCATGTTTCTTTTCTTCCAATCTCTATTGCATGGAATTGCTTAATGCTTTGTGTTGACTGGCCACCAATACAACGATTTGTAGTTAATTAGGTTATTAGCGACAGTGAAACCCTAATAACTGAACTTATTTCATGTGACATAGTAACTTATCGAAGCGACAGTGGATTAAATAAGGTGCTATGCGGTCTTAAATAGGATATCAATCTTCAGACTATATAGTTGATTCATTGAGCTACGACAGTAGGATTTGAATTGATTATCTAGTACGTAGTAATTCCCGACAGGGATAGCTAGCACTTTCGTGATATCCTGGCTGTAGAGAGTTGGATTAAATTGATTGGAATATGTGAATTAATCTGGATAGGATAGGTAGTGAATCCCAGTGTTTCTCCCAGAGCCTTCTCCCATTGATTTTCTCCCGAACATTTTACTTTGCATAATTAGTTTAATTATTTTGCTAGTAGTTAATAATCTTATTAAACCATTTTCACATATAGTTTGCTCAATAAAATTGATAGAACTTAAGGTTGTACCAGTCCCTGAGAGACGATACCCGGACTTTCCGGTTTACTACAAGATAGGAATTGGCATTACGCTGCTGCCCTATCAATTTTTTGGCGCCGTTGCCGGGGACTGCCATACCTTATTTTTTGTTGATTTTTGTGAGTGAACTATTTTGATCTGTGTGCTAGTGTGCAGGTGAATTTCAGGTTAATCCTTTTTGTGCATGCCTAGGAGGACAACCAGGGATTTATTGCCACTAGACCTGGAGATCGAGAAGACCTGTCGACTGAACAGGAAGCAGGTCAAGTTAGGGAAGCAGCCAACCACAACTCCTAGGCCTTCCCTAACCCAGAGAGGGCAGGCTTCATCACCAGTCGTCCCTACACCACCACCACCACCTCGTGACATTGAGCCAGTCATCATGGCAGACGAGGATCGTTCGATCAGGGCTCGTTTAAATCGACGGACTGGAGCCCGGGCTTCATGTGTTTTCATTCCGGCTGGGGATGCAACCATGGAGATTACCCCAGCATTTATCAACATGATCACCAATGGGTATACTTTCTCTGGGGCTAGCAATGAGGATCCTCACGAGCATCTCCGCCGGTTCGCGAGTATATGTGATACAATGAAGAGCCCCACAGTATCTGATGATGCAATCCGTCTTCGGATGTTTTCATTTTCTCTGCTAGAGAATGCATCACACTGGTTCCAAAACTTAACACCCCGTTCCATCACGACATGGGTTCAGCTTGAGAAGGTATTTCTGGATAAATACTTCCCACCTGCCTTGGCAATGAAGAGGCAAGAAGAGATTGTTACTTTTAAGCAGGCTGATGATGAGAGTCTGACCGAGGCATGGGAGCGCTATAAGGAGCTTCTAATGAGATGCCCGAGCCACGGTCTTGAAGATTGGAATGTGATCTCCATTTTCTTCAACGGAATCAGAAGACAATTTCGAGATGCTCTGAATAATGCTTCCCGAAATGGTTTCACAAGAATGGAAGCACCAGAAGCATATGAACTGGTGGAGAAGATATGCTCTGAAGATACTTAATGGGGTAGTGAGACCGGCATTCGAAGGAGAGGAGGCTTGCATGAGATAGACAGAGTTGCAAGCTTAGAAGCAAAGATTGATGCTAAGCTGGATTCCAAGTTCGATGCACTCGAACGAAGGCTGGCTAAGATGGCTCTTGGTAGACAGGAGGAGGTTGCATATTGCGAATTATGTGAAGATGCTCATCATAGGGATCTATGTCCACTGGTAGCTGATCAGTTGGAAGATGTGCACTACATCAACAATCAGCAAAATCAAGGCCAGGGTGGTATGTATTCAAATACCTACAACCCGCAATGGAGGAAGAAGCATCCTAACTTTTCCTGGGCAAACAACAACCCAGCTGGTGCTCGCAACATTCCACCTCCGGGCTTGCAGAAACAACAACCTCAACCAGAGAAGAAACCACAACTTGAAGAATTGCTTCTGGCTCACATGCAGAAAACCGACAATAATCTGAAGGGTCTTGATCAATTTGTCACTCAACAGCTAGCCATCAACAATAATTTGCAATCATCTATGCTAGCTATGGAGAGGCAAATAGGCCAGATGGCTCAAACTTTGGCAGATATGCAAGGCAGGATTCCTGGGACATTACCAGCAAATACTGAGAGAAATCCGAAGGATGCCATGGTTGTAGCAGTGACATTGAGGAGTGGAAAGGCCTTGGAAGACCCTAGCAGCTCGAAAAAGGCACCAGAGGCAGAAGAGGAAGCACCGGAAGAAAGATCTTGTGCAGAAAATGAAGAATCAGCCTTGCACAGGCAAAATGAAAGCGGTTTGCCTGTGCAAAAGCATGCTGCCCGTGTACCTCAAAAAGTGGAAAAATTGAAGAATGAAGAGGTAAAGCCTTATGAACCTCCCTCGCCATTCCCTCAAAGGTTAATGAAGCCCATGGAAGACCCAAACTTCAAGAAATTTGTGAATATCTTCAAGCAACTTCAGATTAACATACCCTTGGCGGAGGCACTTGAACAGATGTCTGCATATGCTAAATTCTTAAGGGAGTTGCTGACAAAGAAGCGCAAATGGGCTGATCTGGAGAAGGTAACCCTTACTTCTGAATGTAGTGCTGTGATTCAGAATAAATTACCTGAAAAGAGGGATGATCCGGGCAGCTTCACCATCAGTGCAGTCAAAATTGCGCTTTAAAGTGTAAAATCGTACGATTTTACGTTTCTAGGGTAGGAAAACGTTTCAAATCACCAATAAAATCGTTTGTTACTCAAAATCGGTCAAAAGCGTAGTAAAATCGGTAAAATCGGTAGAAACGGTTAAAAACACGTTTTTATACCGCTTTTGTACGATTCCAAGCAAAGGAGCAAAACAGTCTCCTTTCATCAAAACGACGTCGTTTTGAATTTTGATTAAAAAAAAATTTGGGGCTGCCAAAAGGGAGAAGGGGTTAGCTGGCTGAACCCTAATTTCATCTATCTCCATTCTCCTCCGCCGCACCACCCTCCTCATCTCCCTCGGTCGCCTTCGTCAGTCGTCACCTCCCTCGGCCGCCGCCAGTTGCCATCGACCGCCGCCCGTCGCCCTCGTCAACCACCTGTCTCCCTCGGCCGCCGCCCGTAGCTCGTCGTCGTCCACTCGTCCGGCGCCGCCCGCTCGTTGTCCACACCGCCCCGTCGCCCTGTCCATAGCTCGTCGTCCACAGCGCCCCATTGCTCGTCGTCCACAGCGCCCCGTCACAGTCAAAGGTTTTTCTATTTTCTCGTTATTCAATTTGCAATCTAAAATGGAATCTAAAATGCAATTATGCAATTTTCTATTTTTCTATTTTCCACAGCGCCCCTTCTATCCTTTATAACATTTGTGTGCTTTGATTGTGAGGACTTGGATTATTAAACGCATATGTCATTATGTAAACTTAAACCAGCTTGTGAGAATTTGGATTCTTAACTCCTTTGTGGGTTACGATTTATGTTTATGAACTTATTGTTATGATGTTATGAGTTTTTTCTAATTTAGACATGAATTGCAGGTGTTTTTTCTATTATCTAAACTCTGTGAACTCATATTTTACATAGTTTATGCCGTACTTAACATTATTTTAACTATTATACAGGATGCATAAAAAACTTACGCTTTTACGCTTTGATTCACCGC